TACGGCGCGACATACCATGACTTCTTATGATTGCCAGTCACTGGAACTCTCGCCACTTCCACAGAAGTGTTCTTTGGGATCAAAGTCGTGTCCGAGTCGTACACTATTTCACGCCACAAAACAACACACAAATCATTAGTAAAAGTCAACCAATGGTTAAGAGGAATATCTCATCTCGTGATACCTTCTCCGGTCTGAGGGTTCGTGATCTGGAGGTCGAGATCAGAGCTTTTGCCGATCTTTCTCTGTTGCATAATAGCCTTCTTGAGGTCTGCCACCGATATGTGGAGGCCATCGAAGATGACTGTGTGCTTGTCTTTGATACTCTTGAACTTATAGTGAACCGACATTTTGGTCACCACTTCTCAGCCACTTCTTAGCCACTTATGAGTGACTCTCAGTACACAACTCAATGGCAATACAATTGGCAAACACTTATAAATCGGGATTTCGTTTTGGATTACAATTGTTAACAAAAAAGTAGTATTTTATACAATATTACGGCAAAAATATCTGTTTTTAAAATAAACACAAAATACAATTGAACTTCAATTACAAGTATATAATGAAACACTAAAATAGTAAACAGTTTTCGCGGTATAATAGATAACAAAATAATAATAATAATAATAATAATAATAACGGAAAAAATAATTAGCTTTTAATATGCAATAAAAAAGAGTCAAAAATATTAGTGAAATAAAAATGAGTTTAAATTAATTGATAGCAATAAATGAGCGGAAAATACTCGCAAAAAGTAAACGCAAAAAATATTTTTCGATAAATATTTTTTCAACGATTTATTGATTTATGATTTTTATGGCAAATAACGTGAGTTTTCAAGTCATCGGCAATTAATATATCATAGATTTTATATAGATTTTCATATATTGTATGCTTTTATACGGGTTTTTAAGAGATATAAATGTAATCATAAATAGTATTAATAGTAATAATAGCAATAATTATCATTCAATAGTAACTGTGGACACAATCCATGGGCTCTACCAATGCGGTGATCGTCGCACGCGGGATGTGCTGGTGATAGTCATCGGGTGTGCGATGGGAGACACGATGTGGTGATAATCAAAGAGTCCTTTCCGGCGATCGATGGCTCCGTGGATGCGGTGATGTGTCACGTGATTCACAGCGGGTTTACTGGCGTTGTGTTCACTGCGGGTGTGTTTCGGCGACTCAATTGTGTTCACAATTGCTGTGAGTTTTGATGTTTTTGTTCGCATTCATCACAACAGTCACCAAAATGGACGCACAATACGGATAATACGTCACGAATACGACTGCTCTCAAGGTCATTCGGCGACTCAATTGTGTTCACAATTGCTGTGAGTTTTGATGTTTTTGTTCGCATTCATCACAACAGTCACCAAAATGGACGCACAATACGGATAATACGTCACGAATACGACTGCTCTCAAGGTCTCGACGTACTTATCAATGCTTTGATAATAGTGAGTGTTTTACAAATACTGTCATGATTTTGTGTACATTTATGACCCCCTTATAAATATTGCTTAGTTTTGTAATTTATATACACATTAAAAGTAGACTAAAGTAATTGGACGCTTAATTGGTATAAATTATGCATAATCTAGTACAACTTGATTACTAATTACAATTGATCATGATTATTTTATTACGAGTCTTGTATAATATATCAATGCCTCCCACCCTATTAAACAGATACGGTATATGTGTACGAAACTCAATACAATTCCAATTGAATCACTTATTCGTGAGTCACACAGAAAGCGATGCACTGATTGGCCGCTTGTGTCGCTCGCAGTGATTGGCTGATAGGGAGCGCTGACTGGCATACAGTTTGAGCGTAAGTGCATTGATTTGAAGCAAACTTTTTGCACCAAAAAATCCATTGCTTTTGAGCGAAGAGTTGGCGACACTTGTGGTCATCAGCGCTGTCTTCCGCACCAAATGTCTGTCACCTATCAGTTCCGCACCA